TTGATGTCAGACCGACACGTCCCACCCGCAGTCAGCGACCACCAGCTCCTTCTGAGGGTGGATGGACACTTGATCATGTCATGGCATCCTTATATGATCTGACTACTGACTTTAGAGGATATAGACAGAGCACGAGCAAGTGGCGAAACCAGATGGACACAAGGGTTGCACGGTTGGACACAAGGGTTTCACGCTTGGAGGGTTTAATTGCCGAGGGTGCCCATACTCAGGAGGAGGAGGAGGAGGATGATGACAATGGGGATGACACACAATCGGATGAAGAGAATGGGGAGGACACGCCATCGGATTAGTGTGTCCATAGGGTTTCATATCATTGATTTAGTTTGATGTAATGTAGTCATTTTGGTACATTTAGGAACTTTACCTACATTGCATGGATGTTTTTGTACTGGATGTTCAAAATTTGAATGAATGAAATTTTCGTTTTGCGCACGTTCAGACTTGTTGGTTCTATGCATTAGTATGGGACCTTGCATTAATATTGTCATAATTAATTTGGAAATCAATTCAACCCAAAGTACTTTAATATTCATGTTCAACTTTCATTGGCGCACATCTTGATTACTGCATCCTATTTCTACGAAATCAATCCACCCCCAAGTCATACCGTATGTAGGTATTGCACAACAATTACCAAAATGCAACAAAAATTGCCAAAACAGCATCTGCAACTGGTCTACCCGGGTACCACGAACTGGTCTACCCGGGTAGGATGTACTCGGGTATATCATTACGAGTTACCCGGGTAGACCAGTTGCAGATGCAGCAGCAGGTGCTGTTCAATCCATTTTGTTTGCATCTTGGTAATTGATGTGTAATACAATAACCTTAACTGACTCGGGGAAGGGGTAAATGGGTATGGTAGACATTCGGATTGCACAATACGGAACGAGTGACTCGCTAAACTTAACGGATACATTTCAACAATACATTTCAACAACACAAGAATACAGTTCAACAATACATTTCAACAACACAATACATAACTAATACAAGATAAAGTTTAGGGTACAAGGAAACAAAATAATACGTAAAGTGATTGTCATTACAAAACAAAGTACTACACAAAAACAATACGTAATCATGCTTGTCTTAGTCTCAATGGACATGTACGAATGTTATGTCCAACTTGCTTGCAATGCTTACATCTGCTCTGACTGCTAGAGGGTTGAGACTCAACCCAATCCATCTCATTCTGAATCCTTGAAGACTTTGGTCTTCCTTTTGCACGTACCAACTGAGCATCCGGAATTACAGTAGGCCCAACAACGGATGGAATCAACAATTCATTGCCAATAGGAAACCAGTGTGCAGCATATACTTTAGCAATGGTTGGAATTTTGAAAACATGATCCACATAATCATAATGGTTTAGCTTGGCTACCTTGCAAACTGCTAATACATGACTGCAGGGATACCTCCTTGCTGTAAACCTACCACACTGACATGTACGATTGATTAAGTCCACTCTCATGATGTCACCGACCTCGTGTGTAGATTGATTGTAGGCATCCTCAACCTCAAACAATAACAGCTCACTATCATATATCCAACCTTGTGAGATATCTTTTTCAATCCCTTCACGTCTCTTGACGAAATACTCAACGAGTCTACTGAATGTCATCTTGACCAATGCAGTTATAGACAGATTTCGTGCTCCACGAAGCACCTTATTCACACACTCAGATAGGTTAGTTGTCATATGACCAAACCTACGTCCTGTCTCATCATACGACCTGCACCATTGCTCTTTCGGAATCGCATCCAACCATGAAGCAACTTCAGGATTGTTCTCGATAAATTCCTTGTACCTAATGTCGAAATTTATCTTTGAACATGTGTACCCTGCAAAAAACCATGACATATGCATTGGTTAGTGAATTTCATCAACGTTTTCTTCAAATGGTTGAAAATGTGAGTAATTATACCGTACATTACCTAATTTCATCAACGTTTTCTTCAATTCCACATTCCTAAAACGGGTATTGAAGTTGCTTCCGATGTGACGTAGACAAAATACATGATAAGCATATGGAGGCTGCCACCCTCCGTGGTCTTTCACCGCCCTTATGATGCTTCGATGACGATCGGATATTAGACAAATACCATGCCTATGTGTGACATGAAAACGTAAAAGGCTAAGAAACCAGGACCAATCATCCAACCTCTCACCTGGAGGAACAACAACAAAGTCAATAGGGATGAGCTCAGAAATTATTGACAGTATGAAGTGGCAAAGAAGGGTCACATGCTTTCACATACCCCAAAGCAAAATTATTTACTCACCTGGAGGAACAACAGCAAAGGCAATAGGGAGCAGAAATCCATCTCCATCCTGAGATGTTGCAATCAATAGAGTACCTCTGTACTTCCCATACAGATGAGTGCCGTCAATTTGAATTATAGGCTTGCAGTGTTTGAATGCTTCAATGCATTGGTGAAATGTCCAAAAAAACCCTTTGAAATACGGCCCTGTCTGTATAAACCCGACGTTCATCAAAATATTGATTTGTATCAAGTTTGAACACAGAACCCACATTCACCTCCGTCATATACTTCAGCCAATTTGGCAAGAATGCGTACCATTTCTCCCAGTCACCAAACAACTTAACGATGGCCTTCATTTTTGCCTTCTAGGCCTTCCTGTACGTTATGTTGTATCCATATGTTCCCTGTATCCTCTCCTGTATCAGAGCTGGTCTTGTGGATGGATCTTCCTTTAACATATCTGGAAAAAAAAAATAACTTTACCATATTCTCAATTAATCTGAATCATTAAATACACAGTAGAATACGTACTCATTATAGCCGCACAAATGACATTTGAATCCAACTGTCTATGATCCTGTGCTACGCCTTGATTTAGGCATGTGTGACCTTGACCCCATTTACGGACCACCCAATTAGCTCCCTTCTTCGGCTTAATTGCCCTCATATACCAGGGACAACCGTCAGCATGGTTTTTACACTTCATAACAAATCTTGACTCGTCGCTTTTTTCAACTATGGCTGTCCTGCGCCCCTTCATACAATGTATCTTCACAGCATGTTGCAATTCTGGTTTGGACCCAAATTCTTGTTGCACAAATAACGGATCTCCTAACTTCCAACCTCCGTGCAAGTCATCATCGCCATATAGGATCTCCAACTCGTCATTAGGGTGCGCCCAGTTAATGAATGAATAATGTTGGCTTTCATTCCAGAATGGCTCCTCAGACCCTGCATCTAAAGATCAACTCTCATTTGTCTGAATGAATACCACCACAAATAATAAATTGTCTAAAGCAAATGTTCAAATTTAATAACTTACCACTACTGACTGGGTCGACATGAAGTGGTGACAAGGCTGGGGTACCGAGACTTACGGCGCTCATGTCAGCCTCAAAATTACCGTCCACGTCAGTGTCTGACGAATCACCTTCTGGAATAGCACTTTCAGGTTCTCCCTCATCTTCGCTGTCCACATAGTCCTCGTCTTCATCCTCTTCATCCTCATCCAATGCTACCTGAGGAGGTGCAGAAGATCGTACAACTGTATCTTCTTGACCGGTACAGTGTGCAGTAGTGGTTGTATGCACCGGTAAAGATGAAGATTGTCCAACATCAACTTCAACATATATCTCAATATATTTTAATACTTTCCATTCAACAAACGCATCTGTTACGAACTCCACATCTTCATCATCATTTATATCGTTTCCAATGTAGTATATTGTATCCATATCCACTACAGTCTCTAACCCGGCTATCATGCGGTGGATGGAATGTATGCCTTCTGACCCCATTTTTTGAAGAATTCTCTCCTTCAGTTCATTGCATGTAGTGCCCACTTTGATTTTCATCGTTTTTGTTTTTCCTTCAAATCGGACACCGTTCGGACCTTCAAAATGCCTCCCATTGTAGTAAATAACTATAGGAACCATGTTTGGACTTGAACTCATCTTTCACACAAAAATTAGATCTAGGTTTTGGGTTTGGAGGTTGGTTCGGATTTTTTAGCACAAAATGGGAGTGTGGAGATGTAATCTCAATGTCCCACCAAGATTCAGCTTTCTGAAATGATGAGATGAAATATGTGTGATGTTTCGGATTAGAGAGGGTAAGAGAGAAAGATTTGGGGTTTCAAAAACCCTATACCTCGCAACAATGGCCGAAACCCATACATATTGGGGTTTCTGGACGCGATTTACCCGGGTACTCTGCTCCTTACCCAGGTAAATAATTCAAACATTTTCCCAGATTCAAGAACTCTACCCGGGTACACCCCTACATACTCGGGTAGATAAAAAGTTTCAAAATTTACCCGGGTAGGTAATGGTGTACCCGGGTAGGCTTCGTGGTCAACGGTCAAACAGGGGCAGATTGGTGTTATGTTTGTTGGGGAGGGTAAATTTTTGAAATAGTTTTGAATGAAGGGCAATTTGGTAATTAATTATTAATTAAGGGGCATAAGGGTCAAAAAGCCATAATACCACTTTGTTTTTATAAATAAAAAAATATTGAATTGACAACATAGAAAAAAAGGCTAAATAAAGTTATAGAAAAGCGAAATACGAAGGTTAGTGTCTAGTTAAACAAAATAAAAAAGTTAAGCTTTTTTTATAATTAACATAGATAATTTATTTACATTAAATTCAAAATAATTTTATTTTAAGAAGATAATCAAGATATTTTTATAATTAAATTTTTCTAAAATTATAATATTTTTTAATTATAATTTTTTAATCCAAAACGACATTATTTTAAAAACAAACGAAAATAATTTATCTGCATAACATTAAATCCAAAAAGAAAATAGTATAGAAATTTGAAGAACTATAAATGAAGGTTATTCCAGCTTAGTATTAATGAAGAATTTGTTTTCATTCAATAGAGGCAGCGAATAATCCGTAAGTCAATGAAGAAATTACAAAAAAAGCACCAATGTCATTTTCTTGCAATATTAGAAATTAAACCGAACAATGCGTTGAAAAGAGTCGAGAAAATTCTTATCCACAAAGACAACATCACAAGGCGTAGGCTACGTTCACAGTCACAGCTCACATAGGTGTCTCTCATGGCAACGTCATTCTCTTCGACAAATCCGGTCCGGTCCATCTTCCGACCACATCAAAACCCTACCAAACCCCTTTTCCCCCTTCGTGGTGCGTCTTCTCTTCTCTTTTTATTACTTAATACACATTTTCTCTGCCAAAAAAAAATGAAAATACTTACAATCTTTAGAGACCCATTCTGCAGAGTCCTTTCATGGAGGGTCCAATTACGTGAAACGCTCATGGACCTCTGCTTCAAGCTATGTCACTCTAAAGCTCCCTCGTGCCTTCACAGTTTCTGGCAGACCCCTCCTTTCCAAAGGGTTGTTGCATAGGAGGTATTAAACCTCATTGCCGTTGTTACTGTGGTGATTGTTTTCAACTGCTTCTGTGGTTCTAATTGGGTTTTTTCTTTCTTTCTGAAATACCCAGAATGGGAATTGTGAGGGCTGCTACTATTGAAGAAATAGAAGCTGAAAAGGCTGCTGTTGAGAAAGATGTTGTAAGTTTCTCAATAAAGTTTTTTTTTTTTTTTTTTAATTTTCAAATATAATGTAGATATGAATTGAGCATCCTTGAATTCTATAATCTCTCTCTCTCTCTCTCTCTCTCTCTCTCAGAAAGACAGGATGGAAAAGACTATTGAAAATGTTCGGTCAAATTTCAATTCCATAAGGACAGGGAGAGCAAGCCCAGCTATGCTTGACAAAATTGAGGTATGCATGCAACGGCTGGCTTATCTTAGTTATTCTTTTAACATGCTGCCTTGTGCTAATGATTCGAATTGTCTCAGGAAATTTCCACATCAAATTGATAACTTCTACTTTTTGATTTGGCTCAACTCACATAGCTCACATTTACTTACTTAATGATAAAATTGAAATATCAATGTAAACATCTGTTAAGTAAATAATAAACTAAGGTGATCACATGCATTTAGTTCTATTTTGCATAGAGTTTTTTTTCTTATGGATGAGCTGTTTCATAATGTGTTTCTAGGTGGAATACTATGGAAGTCCAGTTAGCTTGAAGAGCATTGCTCAAATTAGCACTCCTGATGCCGGTTCTCTTTTGGTACAGCCATATGACAAATCAAGGTAAGTTATGCACTTAGACATGATAAACCAGAAAGGTTGAAATAGATTAAAAAACAAGGAATCGAGAGGGAATATTTAAATCTGTGGGTTATAATAGCATAACGGAGGCTCTATTATATAAAGCGACTATAACAATTACATAAGACTAATATAATGATGTGGGACTTCGGATGAACATATTTTCAATACTTCTAAGTTCTAACACTCCTCCTCAAGATAAAACTTGTTAAAGCTTTAAGCTTGTTACAAATGAACCCTTACAAATGAAAACTTAGCCAAATAATAAATTTGGATTCCACAAAACATGATTACAAAGTCAACTCAGGAATGCTGGAGATATTGGAGGTACAAAATTTGTTAGAAAGACAACTCAGCAATGGCTGGAATGACCATTAGCTTGAAGAGCTAGTTGAAATAATGCCTAACCGAGAAAACGAGACTTCACTTGAATGAGGCAAGCAAGTATACACAGTAAGAACTAAAACTTCTCCAAGTTCATCAAAAACAACAATTGCAAGTTTCAACCACATGAAAACTTGGGAAACCTAACCAAAGCACATCTAGGAGAAAGTCCGACAGGGCCAAACAACAATTGTGATGATTTGACGGGGCCAGACAAAACCTAGGACAATCCAATGGGACTAGTGTGCAACTTCTGAATATATCTCCCTTAATGCTATGTTGGCATTGGAAAAGAGATAAGAATGACACGAAGGGCTAGATATGACGAGAGAAGAATGTGGACAACTAACTCTCTCCATACATAGTGGAGCATTGACATAATTTCAGAAAATGGGTACCTCAGGCTTTGGAACAATCTTCAGAGGGACATAGGAACTAGAAGTGGACATGGGTCATACCAAACTAGAAAAAACTGATCTTACAAAGCTTACTGTATACTTCTATTCTACTTCATGTATGATATGCTTGTAATGGTCCATATGGCTTACGTCTTCTTACACTCTCCATTAAATTCTGTATATTAGTCATTGATTGAGAATATATGCATTATTGCATACAAGACTGTCTTGTGGCATTCTTCAATCACATAACAAAACAATTTTTTTAGTTGTGCTTGAATGTGTTGATATGGTATCTTGTATGTAGAGTAAATCTAAGCAAACCCTTGGTTATAATATTGGTTTTCAGCTTGAAGGCTATAGAGAAAGCCATAGTTAGCTCTGATCTTGGTATGACTCCGAATAATGATGGAGAATTGATACGATTGAGCATCCCTCAGTTGACATCTGATAGGAGGAAGGTATTTTCCAGTTCCATTGATGCTGTAGTGTCTAAGTTCATTCTTTTATGAGATTTATTGTGACATCTCTTTCTTTCTATGTGAATTACATTCTTACTTACACCAAGTGAAAGTAATATTCCTAATTGATTCTCATTTCTAATTTAATTATTTTCAAAATGGCACAGCATCACCTCTTCTATAGCCATGACCCATGAGAACAGTGAACTTTCTAGGAAAAAGTTTTCTTAACATTCCTGGCCATAATTCCAATAGAATTGTTTCAGTTATCTATTTATTTTGTTTACGAGATTGTGCAATTTTTATATAATGGTTCTTTCTACTTGAATTCTAGGGAATATTTTGAAGGTCTAAATGAATAGGTGGATTTCATGTTGTCATCTGAATAATTTAAGCTATAATTTATTTTTATTTTATGCTTTTTCTTTTCCAGGAACTGACGAAGGTAGTGGCTAAACAAGCTGAAGAAGGGAAGGTACATTTGCTAAGTTTTTTACGCTTGAGATAGTGGACTTGCTGTTGTTTCTTACTAATTTAATGGGTTTACTTCTCCTTGGAACTTGTTTCATGGTTAAGAGGGAAAAAACTTCAGTCAATTCTTGAAATTTAAATACCAAATTTTGTTTTCTTTCCCTGTTTTTCTGAAACTTGTAGTTGTAACCTGGTGAGGAATAAAAGTTGATGATTTTTAATAATTCAAAGCACTAATGTATGTGAAGAGTGCTTATTGTTTGGTTGTAGTACTGTACTATTACTTGCTATGAAAATCAAAAAGCTTTATATGTTATATGCTTCTAGGATTAATGTTTTGGCTAAATTGCAGTTGTTTGTAATTTCATTTTGAATGATTGGGAGTACTCATTTTTCTTTTATAGGTGGCTTTGAGGAATATAAGAAGAGATGCATTAAAAGCTTATGAAAAGCTCGAGAAGGTTTAAATCCTTGACTACGCATATTTCTTAACTCTCGTCAATAATTTGTTCTTTGTTTTCTATTCTTCCTCCTTTTTTCAGATTGTGTGATTTCATTTTTGGTTAATCATTTTGTTGGGAATTTCCTTACAGGAGAAAAAGCTTTCAGAAGATAATGTGAAGGATTTGTCAAGTGATTTGCAGGTAACTTGATACCACTCATATAGGGCACTAGGTACTTTTAGTCCATCTAAAATTCCTGCTGGCATCCCTCTTTTCTGTTTTTCTTGGGGATGGGGCAATAGTGTGACATGGAACCAAATTCCAGCCCCCAAGTAAAAGAGAGAGGAAAGAGAGAGTAGATTTTGCCCGCTATGCATTTGTAACTTTCATAAAGTTGTGCATTACTAATATATTGAGAAAGATAACCCAATGTTTTATTCTGTCTGTATCAAAGAATGGAATTGATATTTTTGGAGTTGCACGCACATGACTATTTTTGTTTGTCTTTCGTTATACCTTCTTCATATCATATTGTAGCAAGCAATTTATTTTTTGGCCACCTGTCTGTTCAATATCAGTGTGAATTTCTTCAGTTAGCATAATTATTTATATTTTATTTTATTAATGGTAAATACTGGATTTATAAGTCAAACCTGTTATTTAAAATTAAAAATAGACAAATTTCCTTTAATTTTTTTTTTCCTCATCGTAATTATGTTATCTTAATGTAGAAGCTGACTGATGAGTATATGAAGAAGGTTGATACCATCCAAAAACAGAAAGAAAAGGTATTATATATTTCCGCTTAACCGATATGTTTATTAATAGCTTTTGACAGATGGTAGAATAATGAGATGCTTAAACCCAGATTACATGTACAAGGCCACTTTGGTAATACTACTTTAGTAATTACTTATATGATTTGTTGCCCCCTTTTCACTTCCACTGAATTAGTCAGTATGGCCTGGGAATTAGCATTCTGAAGATCTACAAATGATACTTCATTTGGACATGGTATAATGTATACAAGGAGTGAGTGACTCTCTTGATTTGCATATTAGACTAACTTGGGTGCCTCTGACTTGACTGTGGTCAAGGTTGATAACTCCATGGATATTTACATACTTTAGTGTTTAGTCAATAAAGATATAACAAACAAGTAGTTATAGTTTATTATAATTACATCTTGAAGAATCAAATTATGCATGATTGTAAAATAGTCATCAGTATTAACTTTTTCCTAAATTTATTTTGGCTTAATTATTTTTTAATCTTTGAATATACCAACTTTTAATTCTAATCACTCTAAAATTTGGATTTTGGTTTGTGTCCCTTGTTTTCCAAAGGTGAGTGCTTTTGGTCCTTCTCGTTATCATAGATCTGTTAAGTGCTGATATGTCAAACAGATTGCCAACTCACCTTTGCCACATGCATATCTCATATCATCCACATAAATAAGGAGTGGGGATGTGGCAATGACTAAAGTACTCACTTTTAAAAATTAAGGAGCGCAAATCAAAACCCAAATTTGGTATGTTTATGTCATGATATGTAAACCTTGGTAAAAATGAGTTGTTAGTCCGTTTGGCAAGTAAACACTTAACAATGATAACAGCATGGACTGAAAGAGTTCACTTTTAAAAAACAAGAGACAAGCCAAAATCCAAATTTTAGAGGAACTAAAACCAAGAGTTGGTATGTTTATAGGGACCAAAAATATATTTAAGCTTTCTACTTTATATACTCCCTGGTTTTTGTATAATTATAGAAGGTTTGTCAAGTAACTTGTTCTCCCTATGTTTCAGGAGTTGCTGACAGTTTGATGCTTTGATACAAAAGCAAACGTTTCAAGTTGTTTCTAAAGAAGTTCAAATTTTGTGTCTACTTTGCTCTGATTAGTATAAATTGATGCATATAAACATGTTAAACAGAAGACAACTTTTGAATTAAATAGATTCTTTTTCAAAATGAAAAGGTGAGTTCACGTCTATAAATTGGATTTCTTTTACATATTGCATCATTGAAATTAGACCTCAAGTTTGTGAAATATCTGGCTCCTTATAATTTTTTTGGAGTGTGGGAAATCCATTTGTAGATATTGTAACCACAATTTTGTTAGTTTATGTAGCTCATGACTCTTGCGCTCAGCGCAAATTGGGAGGTTGATGTGGAAAATAGAACTAGACACTCCCAAAGTTGTACATAAGTTATAATCTTCGTTAGAATCGGCTTTAGTATGCAATTGGTCCTTGTGTACTTTGATCTGGCAATGGTGGAGGTCTAAATTGAAGAAACAATTTGAAAGAGAGACACGATGTAACCTAAATGGGATGGCAGAATGTCTTGCATCTGCTCCATTTTCATTACCCTTTTTTTGTGTCGGTACACATAAGATAGTTATAGTAAAAGGAGTACAAACCATGCCAGATTAAACAGCTTAGGTAAAATAACCTTTTTATGTCAAATAACAGTGGCTGGATTGGGACTGGTACGGGGTGTGTATAAGTTGAATTGAACTGAATTTTTTGAAGAACTTGAATCAAATTCAGTTCAAAGAACCAATTTTTTTTTTTACTTCAAATTGGTTTGGTTCAGTCGAAAATTGTTCAGTTCGAAATCAATTTGGGTCAAACTTATTCTGAAAAGAAAAGAAAATAAAATAAAATAATTAAAAAATAAAGTAATAAAAATAAAGATAAAAATAAAATAAGCCACTAAATAAATAAGAAAAATAGAGAGGAAAAAGAGAAATAAAAGAAGAGAGTTTATCAACAACAACAAAAAAAGGAAAGAAATAAATTGATTTACAAACTGGTTTTTTACACTAGTTCGGTTATTGAATTGATTTTTAAAAATCTTTTTTTTAAGTGCAATTCAGTTTAATTTTTTTGCACATCCGTAGAGACTATTAAGGATAAATGTCAGATTGACATAATGGTTCTTTGGAACGAAAAAATTTATAATACTATCGTGGTAGGTACAATCCATCAATAGGAGTATAACATATTAGTTGACATGTTTCTTGAAAAGAGAAAAAAAAATTAATTCGGAATTCATTTTGAATTACCATCGTACCCAATGCTCAGTACTGACTGTAATATTGAAAATGCTCTCCTTTGAAACAACTATTTTTTTCCTTTTTATATGGAGAAAACCCAGTCAGAAATGGAGGGTGGCTGAATGTATCATTTCCTTTTAGTTTGTCTCACTTTCAGCAAACCAACAAGTTCAAGGTAATTCAAGAATTGAGTATTTCTCTATGTTGTGGAAATCTTTCAAACGATCAAGGGTCGTTTATCCTTTGAAACATCGGCGAACTCAAAGTGACATGATCATCAAGGGTATGCATTCCCAAGCGAAAATATTCAATAAAAAGAATAAGTGTACTTTGATAATTTACTAAACATCAATGTTTAAGTCAATGATAGAAATGGTATGATTCATAGAGCAGGGGAGTTTATTTATGATTAAACTGAATGAATAAACTCTCTCCCCCATATGAGCTTGCCTTGGTTACGTTTATTTATTGTAATTCATCTATTTCTTTTGCGTTTCGTTCTCGTGTTTGGCAGTTGGTTTCTTTAATTTATTTATTTTTTATAACTATTCTTTCTGAGACCAAATAGTTTCGGGTGAGTGGAGAGTTGATGATTGTTAATGAAAACTTTTATAAATAGATTTTAAATGAATAAAAGTTTGAAGTCATAAACCTAACATGTATTCAATATTGGTCTAGAGTGTTCCATTGTACAGCTTGCAATTGAAACATTATTAAATAGTTTCGTCATCCCCAACTCAACTTGGAAAAGATAAAATAGAATAAAACAAAGCATTATCAGAACATTTTTTTAAAAATAAAAATAAAAATAGACCTATGGTACTATGATTGAAAATATTATTGTTGTTGCTTCCTAGTCTAGCTAATAATGTATTTTATTTCCCAATCTTAGCGATCTCCACGATTAGCAATGAGACAAACTCACATTGCTGAAGCCTTCGGTATTCAAGAATGCAACTCCAACGTGTAACAACCAATGTTTGCCACTTCAACAGATAAGTCCAAATAAAAATAATATTGTTTACTTTTGTCTATGAAAAGCCACTTGAATCCAACACATTTAATTAATAAAAGAATAGATTTCTTTGTTTGATTTTATTATTTGTTTAAGTTGAATGAGTGCGTTTGTCTTAACCCACTAATGTATTTTATTATTTTTATCTTTAGTTGTGTATGTTCGTTAAAAAAATATATTATACATGGTAAGGAAACTAGCTTAGGTCAAAATATATACAATAAGCTCAATTACCTAGTTTAATAAAGAAGTATTATAGTATCATCCAAATCGCGATTGGTCATGTGCAGGTAGATTGAACCCATTAATCAATGACCAATCTCATTGGAGATGCGCATAAGCTTAGTTTTAAATCTTAATCATTAGGGCATTTACAATAAATTAATAGTGTACCACAAGTGGAAGAGAGGGTGGATCCCTCTTAGCGTTTCATATCAATTATATACAAATAAAAAAGTGTCGGAAAGCCGATGAAGGATGCTTATAATAATTCTTTTTTCAATTTTATAATTGAATCATTTGTTTATATGCCTTAAGACTGGAACTTGTTCATGCATTATATTTGTATAACACAGTATTCAATAACGTGTACTTTTAAATAATACAGAATTCAATAACTCGTACTTTTATTTGTGTTCTTTTTTAATAAAATATAGTGTTTGCTTTTCTTAGCGTTAGAAAAATATATTAGCTTTGATTTGCATCGCTCTTGTTATAAAATAATACCCCTTCCTATTGTCCAAAAGATGCAAATATTATTATCGAGGATTTAACTCCAGCCAAAGCCATCGAAAAAGGATAAAGGTATCTTTGTGCATCGAGGAACATGCTTTTTTATCTCAAAGATATGCGTGTGTGTGTTTTTTATTATGGTATGTTCAAGCTATTTCAGATTCAGCTTTTCATGCAAGTTAAAGAAAAGAGAGAGATGACTAAACAATAATAGCTCGGTTGGTGTATAGAAATTGAATTTGAAGGTGTGAGTACGATCCTTTCTGATAAATTTTTGAGAGAAATTTAAAATTTTAATTTTGGAATCACTCCAAATTTTGGATTAATCTATAAGAACCTATAAAATTATCAGGGAATAGTTAAAAAAAAAGAAAGAGATGCCTCCTATATGGTCATAGATCTGTAACATTTTTTTTTAAAATTATTATTTGCAAGACTCTACTAGAGTATGAAAAAGGCTATACCAATAAATATTTAACTTAAGTTCCTCAGACCACGGTATATATATATATATATATATATATATATATATATATATCTTTAAACAGAGCGGCTGCGCTTCAAAAAGACAAAAATCAAAATTTCTAATCCTCTTATTTAATAAATATTTAAATGCTATTATACTTAAATAAATTTTCAAATATTATCATACTTTATTTTATTTTGATTTAGTTTCACTTATAGTTTTTTTACCGTGAAAAATGTATGATTTTAGTCATTTTTATAATATTTTTATTGAAAAAATATGTTTGACACAATTTTTTTAAAGTTAAAAGCTACTTAAAATTAAAAAATAAAATAAAAATTATTTGGTAATTATATAAGCTTTTCTTGAAGTTTTAAAGGGAGGAGATGGAATAATTGATCATCAGTAAATTATTAATCAAATTACTAAGTTTTATTAGTAATCTATGACATAGTGAGTGAGGGGGGTATTTTTTCAATTAGAAAAACTAAATGACTTGATTGCTAAAAAACATTAAGTGATCAAAATTACACATTAACCATAATAAAGGTAGCAAACGCGCAATTAAACCTACTCTTTTGTGTACTTAACGTATCTTCTATCATTAAATAAGTCCCAAATTCAGAACAAATGATGAATATAATGCTCAACAAAAAAAAAATGAAAGTGCCAACAATGATAGCCCCTAAATTTATTTTCTTTTTTTTATATACATGAAGAGAACTAAGACAAATCAAAAGCAAAACAGAAAAGGAAAATAAAATAATCAGCGATCACTCCTAATACTCGGAGTGGCTGAAGAATTCGCAAGTAAAGACAATAGAAGGTCAAAAGAAGGATCCAAAAAAGCATAGTCATCATCCATTTTTAGATGACCGAGTAGAAGATTCATCATCCAACCAGTGCAGTTGTTAGCCTCCCTCATCGTGTGAATGAAATGAACTTGCTGATTTCAATTCATCAATGCTCAAATTCGAGTTACCAAAGATGGCTTTGGAGCTATCTCACCATACTTGGTGAGCAACGCGACAACAGAGCTGGAGTCGCTTTCAAAAACTAACTTCCTGATACCTTTGTGCTAAGCAAGATGGAGGTCTTTCAGAACACCCTATAATTCTGCATTTGATGCTGAACAAGTACCAATTATGTAAGCAAATCCACCTTTCCAATTGCCATTTGCCTCATGAAGCACAATCTGTATTAAGTTTGGTAAATTCTGCTAGAGGAGGCAGCCAAATAATGTGACGCTGAGACGGAAGAGGAGCGTCCCTTTCAAATGCAAATGCAAAACACACTTGCTGCGCAAGGTCAATCACAAGCAATATACGAGTGTAGCAAAGGAAGGGATGGTTGGCTATATAGCACGGACACGCTCCTTTTTGGAAAATTTACGTATTGGACACGTGTCCGACACGCTCGGACACGCGGTCAACATTTGGGGACGCACGGTCAACATTTTGGGACGCGCGATCAACTCTTCGACACGTTTTTCCGACACGCAGTCAACTTTTTTCGACACGCGGTCAATGCTCGGACACGTTTTTTGTTTTTGGTGTAAGAAGATCCTGCCCCTATTTATTTTATGAAATTTAAATATTTGATTGGTTATATGACTTATTATGGACTCTTATATGTATTAAATACAGATTATATTAAATGTTTTATTTAATGTCAAGACGTACGTGTCCCAACGTGTCGAAATATGATATTTTTTAGAATTAACGTGTCGGCATGTCGTGTCGTGTCCGTGTCTGTGTCCATGCATCACAAATGGTTGGTCATGCGCAACATTATTACGCTAATTCCAAATCAACCAGCAGCCAATAACAAAAATTATAGTCCAAGGAACTATACTCCTAATTTTCATGTTATGCATGCTTCCGGTTCATTGTTAGCCATTCATGAAGATCTTCCCCAAAAAAAAAATCTCCCTATCTGAAGGTGGTAGAAGTGCAAATCATATATTTTTAATTATAAAGTAGTCCCTAACAGCATGCAACAAGGTTTCTGCTTGTAAATTGCAAATGAGGCATAGAGGATCTCCACGTGACCAATATGCACTCCATGCTTTGGTAGTCAACATGTTATGATCTAGTTTCCATTGAAGAATTTTCATGTATTGAGGACCTTAACTCTACAAATTTTTACAAAACGCACAAGGCAAGTGAGCATCATCTGCTGAGGCTCTAAATAAAGCAAAGTAGCAATTTTTACCCCCATAGAGTCTGTTTCATTGTTGAAGCGCCAAGGCAACTTGAAGAGGAGCGCATTATGGTATAGTTTAGTTCTCAAAGCAAATCCATTATCGTCTCATCATATTAAAAATTAAAATGACAACAATGAGTTGCATTAGTTAGCAATTATATTATTAAGGTTGGGTAACTCCAAAAAAGTTAGCAATTATAATTCGGACTACAAATTATATGACAAGTACGTGAATTATAATACGTACTCTGCAGACAAACAAATTATAAATATAATTTTCTCCAGTAAATCATTTTCGTTGAACTATATTTAAATTTAAATTTAAATTTTGTTATAATTAATGTAAAAAAATATTTTTTGAAGATTTCTTTTATTATCCACGTGGCTGCCTATCCAACATCTTAATTTATGACCATTCGATCTCCAACCCAGTAATCCTACGGTTCATGAGTCCGGTTGGAAACACGAGGTTGATTGGACGACAATCGGAAAAAAAGCAAAGCATGGGAAAGAGAGGTATTACGTAGGATTTTAAAGTTCTGGTTCCAACCTAACCTTAACCAGACCAGTCCTCCTCTCCATGGGTCCCGTAAAATAGAATATTAAGTTTTTAATATTTTAATATAAGCATTTAATATTTAATAATCAAATACATTCAATCTCCAGTTTCAACCATACCACAAGATATTTCTCTGTGCCACCTCTTCCGTGTAAAGGTCAATACTGTTACTGAAATATAAATTAATTATTCTGTGCCTCTTTGAGAAAATGAGTTCTCTCTTCTTCTTTTTTGCAATCAATATATGTTAAATTATTGTTATATATACATGTGTTTTGATCATTTTTAAGTATGATTAGAGTACATTATTATTGTATTGTTTTCAACGTGTTATACAATATACGTAATCATACAATTGACTGATACGCACCATCAAATTAAAAATATATTTAGTAGTATTTGATGCATATTTTATTTTTTTAGTAATTTATATTTGTCTGTGTCATCATATATTATGGTGTTTTTAAAGAATTATATAACGAATAATACAAACGACGGATTGAGATGATACAATTAAAATAACAACAATCTTTTCACCAAAAAAAAAAAAATAATAACAACAATCTTATGAGATAATTTTTTTTATATGATAATTCAAGTAACAGGGTTAGGTAATGGAATAAAAAATTTGAAAATTACAATCTTGCTAACTTAAGAAGACATGGAAGAAATATGCATTAGAAGAATTGGTTAGTTTCACATTTTAATAAATATAAACGTTACGCTAATGGTGTTAATTTGTATGACCTATACATATTAGTTAAGATTAAATGTTTTACAAGCTTTAAAGACAATGATTTGTATACTTTACTTATCTTGTAGCCTAAGTACAAATTGAAACCTTTCATTATTAAATCCATATCTATGTATATCTAGAAAACTATATATCTTATGTAAGTACATGGGTTAATTGAGACTGAGACATCCTTCAAATTGTGAGATTAGGTTCATGTCACATGAATTTAAGGGAAAAAGTCAAGACATTTTTAATCATTGATGAAAAAATTAATGAAAAATATTAAAGTGAGTAAGTAAGAGTTAAATATACTATTATTCACTTTCTTTAAATATCAATTTTTTTCATGTAAACTTATTAAAAATTAATGATTAATATTACGATAAAATATATCCACATATATACATTATTAATTAGATAATAATAATAAAAATTATGTATCAAAAAAAAATCACGCGGAAACATTAAAACCAAATCATTTTCTATATCTGGATTGATTGTATGAAGTTTTTAGTTGTACCGTCCTTGATAGAAATTTAAACTTTCTTTAAATAACATTCTTTTAAAAGATTGTCTGTGAAATATATAAACAAGTGCATATTTGTATTTAATTTAATTTTAATTTATTAAAATTAAAAAACAAATTATCTCCACTTACTCATTTTACAAAAAAATTCTTCCTCAAAGAATATTTTGTTTTTTGTTTGGAATAGTAGTTTATTCCAACTTAAAGATGACTGCTTGTTGCTCTGATTTGATTTATAAATTCTTTCGTTTGTTTCCTTCATCTAATAATTATGATGTATAACTTTTCCACATTACAGTGGATCGTATTGCTTCTTCAAGTTCATATTTTTTTAAATGCTATTATTTGAATGTCTTGTTTAATATGTTTGACTATGATATAACCAATTTGGTCTTAGTTTGGATTATTTTTTAAGGACATTGCATTAACTAACTGCATTATTAAAATATATATTTTTCAAATTTAAATTCAAAACTTTAGTCACTCAATCTTGTCATAGTTGGTGGTATTGCTCATTTCTATAATCTAATATTTAATTATAAATCAATTTAAGAATTGCTCGTAGCTTAGTATTACTTCAAATTTATTTTTTATATTTCCCCCACCCAACTGCACCCCACTACGGCTGAGCTGGGTGTGGCTGATGCTTGCATACACGCTGATCTCGAACGCGTGTGCATGAACGAGGAAAAGGGAATTTATTTATATTATTATTAAGAAAGAAGTAAAGAATCAAAAGATATAAATAAAGTGAGACATGGCCCACTTTAAGTTGGCATTCCTTATTTCATCAGACAATAACGTCTCTGCCATGTTGGCATTGGCAAATCAACGCCGTCAGATCCGTGACCTATCCAACGGCATCAGTAGCTCCTAAAGCCAAATCCGCAAATCGGTGCCGTCCCTGAGTGCGCGATTGTGATGTGTGAAGCGTGAAAGTGAATATGATATAAAAAATGGGGAAGATTAGATTATCAATTAACTAATTATTACGTTTAATAATTATCCCTTTAAATAAAGCAAACAGAGGAAAATTAAAATATAAAGAGAAGTGAACTCGTTTCATAAAGGCTCTGAAAAAACAAAAGGCACAGCAGATAGAGAGCCACCGTTGACGGTGGAATTCAGCGACGCGCCGCCGTTGCTATTGGAGACTGATTTATTTCAGTGAGTTTGGTTACATGAGAGAAGGAAGAAGAAGAATAAGAAGAAGCACATGGACAGAACCAGAGAATCAAGAAGATCATCGATGGCGTCCTCCACCAATGGATTACCCAGACGGAGACATCGAACTATTGCTCTCAGAGAATCTTCTGAGGAAGGGACGGTGGAGTTGAGGGAAGCTCCGAGTAAGAGGGGAAGGAATCGAGATAGGGATTCGTCGAACAGGAGCAAGAGGAGGAGAGGCTCTCACTCTCACAGGGACGAAGGCGAACAAAGCACCGAAGATGAAAGCATCGGAAATGAACTAGACGACGGCGTTCAAGACGCGGGGATTTCTAGGTTCCTTTCCCCCTATACGACGCCGTCCACCTCCGATCATAACCATCGCCGGAACTTTACGCCGGCGAGACCGCCGCCGTTGAAGATAACCGACGATATGATCGGCGTGGCTGTGCCCCGGAAGGCTCGTTCAGGTTGCTACAATACAAATGCGGTTTTTCGAATAACTCATTGTTTTGTCTGTTTTTTTTCCTTTTTCCACTTTCTTCCACTCGTTTTTTTTGGTGACTGAATGTTTTCTTTTGTTTTTTCTATGTGTGTTTCTGAAGCTTCTGTAAAAAGATCGCACGAAAGTTGGGTCTCTGCGAGCGGCGGTGGCGGTGGCAAGGAGGAGCAGAATCTCCGGCAGCGGTCGAATTCCCCGGGAAGTCAGAGTGTCGAACCGACCTCGCCGCCTTTGAATTTTTCTGTTCCGAAGAAGATGGTCTCCGCAAATATTTATTTTTATTTTTATTTTATTTTTTTTGAAACGAAAAATAAGAATTTGAAGGACTAAGTTTTGAGGTGTCTGATATGTTGTAGAAAGCGATTGGAGCTGTTCCTGAGACATTGAAATCGGCTTCATCAGACGTGGAGATTGAGATAGCTGAGCTTCTGTTCGGTTTGAGGACTTCCAGGAACTACGAGTCTTCGTCGGAAAACCTTGACGCAAGCGTCAATCACCACACCTCAGTGTCTAAGGATGTTGGTGAGTTTGAATTTTTGGAGATTTTTTTTTCTTTTATCTTTTGTATTTTATTTTTATTTTTTTCAATTTTTCATTGGCATTTTTATCACCAGAGAAGAAGAAAATGGAAGACTACAATAATTCAACACAAGAGTTGGTCAGAACTCAGAGTGATCAACCTGCAAATGTGGATTGTCATGATGTTAAGACTAATGGTCATGAAAATGGATCATCAGAGGCTCCTATGGAGGACAATGGGAGAGACAAAGTGAATTCAGGTGCTGGATTTGATGGTGCTACAGCAGATGGAAGATCCGTCTCCCCTGCAGGGGAATCACCTTCACGCTCCAAATTGGATGCTGATAAACAGGATTCAGCTTCTGCCAGAGTGTGAGCACCAAAGAATAATAGTTTCATTTTACTTGCTCTTAAATATACTTATTGGGATAACTGATCAATGACCTCATTTCCTTGTGGCTCAATTTATTAGGGTGTCTGCTGTTCCGGAGTCCAACATCCAGCGAGTAGGCATGTTTGAGATAGATCTGATGGTGAGGATCCTTCTTGTTCGCATTCGGATTACATTTATTTCCCTTGAATTTTTGTCAAATACCTGAACAAGAGTGCCTTTCCAACAGGCTCCTCCTCCTATGGTGTTGTCCCCAGAAGGAGATGACTTGTCAAAGGGTGATTTCACATCAGAAACTAAAGCTTTGGCACTGGATGTGGAAATGGTGAGTAGGTTGACTGTGAATCTCAAGATTATTTTATTTTTGTCCGTTTCTTTGTTTCATACTCCAACTTGTCACAATTTCTGATGCTGAAGAGGGAAGATAGTATCAAGGTGGAAAGACCAATTAAGAAAGAGAAAATTCTGGAAGAGATTGAAGAGGTGAAGACGGTCACGTTTAAGGAAAAGTTGGATGTGCTAAAACATGATTTGGAGAAGCCAAACAATGACAATGACACAAGGACAAACAATAAATTAGAAAAGCAGGATAGGAATAAGGAACAACCTACTAAATCGTTGAATCCCAAAGTGGAAAAAATGGGTAATTAATTTCATATTTTTGACTTCTTTTTAGATATACAAGACCGTATGTCATCTCTGATTCTGACCCATTTGTTGATAAGTTAGAATTCTCTTAACGCTTCTTTCCTCCTTCAGGTCAATCTAGTTCAGCAGTGCCTTTATCAACAGCTGTATCAGGACGGCCAAGCTGTCTCTCTCCTATTGGGTATTAGATCCTCACTTTTCTAGGAATATGCTTTTTTCTTCATTCTTATACTTCTCTAATTTTACTTTGTGATTGGTCATATCAATAATGTAACTTTGCTAAGTTCAATAACTATGGTTGGCAGATACACACCGCCCTTGCAGACAGTTGTAAAGGTGGAAAAAACCACAGGGTCATCGACAACTCCACAGGTATTATAATTTCTCACAAAATTTGTTCTTCTGGTTGTACTTGTTTTGAGTCCTTTCTTTATTCTCAGGAGTTCCATATTAGTGTCTGACTTATCTCTATGGAACTGTATCGTGAACAATTCTTTCGTAATTTGAATATGCAGCATGTGAATTTTGTTCTCTCTCAACCACAACGAAAGAGATGTGCAACTCATCATTACATTGCTCGTAACATCTTACATCGTCAGTTTACAAAGATGAACTCCCTTCCATCAGCAGCTATTAGCTCTGATTCTCCGTGCACAAAACCCAACAATGTCAACTTTGTGCCATCTGCAGAAAATACGGTCATTAGGAAGCAACCTCAGGAACACTTGCCAAGTGTAAACCAAAATGCTGCACAAGAGAAAGGTTGGGCTGCCACAAGCGATACTAGTCTTACAGCACTGAAAAGTTCTAATAATGCCAACCGAGTGGATTCAACACACCGGATGCAGCTTGTGCTTCAGCAAGGTCCACGTCCTGGGTCAACTGGTAATCTAGTGGTATGGTCTTGTCATTTAATTGCTTCTGTACATTAAAAAATAGGGTGTTATTTATTTTACTGATTGCACTAGTGGCCCTTATTTTGGAATGTAATGTGCTTTAATTTTCAATGTAGCATGGTCCTGCTTTCCTATTCCCTCCGGACCAGCATCAAGCATCAGTAGCAGGAGCTACTAATCAGGCAGGAGGTTTGAATCCCCCCGGCAGTGCTTCCTCATATAGTAAGTCCCATAGTTCATTTGCTGGATCTCTTGGTAACTCCTCAACTTTGCCAGCAGTTGCTGCTGCAATGAGCTTTAGCTACCCAAATTTTTCAGCCAACGATTCTCCGTATGTGACAGTAATTCAGAATAATGGGTATTCATACCCCTTTTCAACTTCTCTTGGAGCAACTGCTGCAATCAGAGGTGCAAGCCCTGCCCAAGCAACACATATATTTAGTGGGCCTTTTTACTCTTCTCAAATGTTCCATCCTCTTCAACATTCACAACAACACCCTCACTCACAAGCATTGGTTCAACCAAGTTATCTTAATCCAAGCACATCAAGTAGCTCATCATCCATTAAGCAGTCACAGGGTGCGCAAGTTAATGGCAATAATATTTTGACCTCTACAACTATGGAACAACAGTCACAAAAGCGACAGACTTCGGGGTCTCACCCTCGCAAGCATGAAACTGAGATGGGTGGAGAGAATGCACCATCTGTTGCTAATCGAACAACTTACCCGCAAAAGAATGTGCATGGGCAGAACTTCACAATTCCAGTTCAGCCGGTAAACTTTTCTTTCAGGCCATCTGCAACATCAGAGATTATTGGTGGCAACGGTGGAAATTTGGGTGACAAACAGCAACAGCAACAGGCTTTAAAGGGTGGAGTTGAGATTATGCCATCTCAAGCATTTGCAATATCATTTGCTGGATTTAATGGGACCAGCGTTCCTTCAAACCTTAATTTCTCATCCATGGCACAGAACCCAGTGATACTTCACAGCCTGCCTGATATTGCATGGCAAGGATATCAAGCTACGAGTATACCTCATACTACTCAGAAGAAGACTTATCCAATTACTGAAGGGAAGAGTGGAGGAAACTCTTCCCACCAAGACGATGAAAAGAAAACCACTCACGGGAAGTCATCAACCAATGGGCCAACCACCCTTGTTTTTGATAATTCGTCAAAGAATCTTAACTTTGGGCTATCTCCTACGAATGGAAACTGGCCTAGTCGCTCAATTGCTTCAACTGTGATAACAAGTGTGCCTCTTTCCAGTAATGCTTCAAGTTCCCAACAGCCATCTCAGTTGCTTCAGCTTCAGAAGCAGCATGGAATGCAACAGCAGCAACCTGCTATGGCTACTCGATATAAAGCATCATCCACCAATACTACTGCTGCTACAAAATTTGCAAACAATGCCCCTGTTTTCTCTCAAACTCCTTCTAACCAAGCTCCCCACTCTAAGACCTCGGGAAGAACCACAGATTCTCATGTCCATCACACAACTATTATAACATCTGAGACTCCCACCGTCAAAAAATTTTCTCAGGAGCAAGGAAGAGTTTCACAGGGTCATATGCAAATTTCTTTTGGGGGAAATTACACAACGTCTCTACCACCCCAAGGGCAACAACTACTCAATGACAACCGGCCTGTGAGTGCAACAGCTGCAGGAACTCCATTTAGTGGGGGAAAGAAGCCAGATTTGGAGGGAAGGAAAGTTAGTTTGTCAGTGAACACTTCACAGTTGCAACAAACTGAGAATTCTTCTGCTGGGAGTGGCCAAAAATCTTCCCCGGTTTGTGGGAGAAATGTCCCATCAATCTTAAGCTCATGCCCCAGCCACCTATCTGAACTTAAGTATTAGAAATCAAATTGTATGAAATTCTCTGCAATTCCACTCCTAATCTTTTAACATCAGCATATATTCTGGACATATATTCTGGAGGTCCTTGCTGCTACTGCTTCATGTTCAAGCTGCAATTTATGGGTTTGTTACCACCCGTGTGGCTACCCACCCACATGCATTTAGTTTGCAGGGTAAGATTAAAGGCAAAAGTTTTGGTAGCTTATAGCACAATTGTGGAAGGTACGAATGGTTGTGTGTCATAGCAGCCGGGTGCTGGTGTTTTGCTTGCAGTTCTTTCCTGAGGTAGCAATAGCCAATAATATATGAGAGGTCTTAAGACAAAGGAGTGGGGTGATAATGAAAGGAACTTGGATCCATTAGGCCTGCAATTTTGAAATAGTAGGGACTGCTATCTTGTAATATTTCTTGGTTGGTTGGCTTCTGGAAGGCTTTTATATTCTCATGGAGTCTGATTAATTTGACATTTCAAAGCAATTCGATTATGTGTATATATATATTATAATTATTATTTTATTTTTGCCTCCCATAGCAAGAGATGTACTTCAATCCAATTTTTAATGAAAAACCCTGCAATTATTTCTTTCATTTTTGTTGTTATAGTGGGTGGATTGGTGGGACATTGAAAGACTGAGATGTGGGGTACGAGCATCCGGAGCGAGACTGATCAATACTCTACAGTTTCCTTTGTCGTTTGAAACATAACCAGACATCATATGCGCAATTGTCTATAACGTGACACTTTGTCCAAATATGTATGATAAGGGAATCAAGTGTCTATTTCTAGGGTGTGTTTGTTAAAATAGGTTCCATGCCAGATTGATCCAAATACTTTTGTCAATGAGTTATTTTAAAAAAATATTTAAAATTGATAAGTAAAATACAAATGTACTTGCCTGCCCAAATATAGGTTCCAACTTCAGTCCCACAATTGTATAAAAAAATAAAAATAAAAAAATCTAATAGGGGGGGTGTTGGCCCAAATAGATGGTATATACAAGTAAGTCATCTGCAATTATCGTCGTCTATAGTCTATGTAGCCGCCAGCAAATAAAGATTGAACTTCCTAACATCAATTATAAGAATTCTTAAAAAAATCGGATGTTATTTTCTTTTGTAATATCAAATATTATCCCCTTGTTACTGTATTTGGACGTTTATGTGTACTAGTTCTTAATTAGGTATTTGATTCACATTATTCATTTACGTCACGCAATTTGAAATTGAAATGACTTCCTTTAGTTGGTATTGTATTGAAACTCGGTGCAGCTGTCCTCGTATTGACAATTCTAGTTTTTGTCCCGTGCTGAAAAAAAGAAGGAAGATGAAGATTCTCTTACGTCCTTCGAAGATATCAGTCAAACATAAACATTTTTTTTTTTTAAATATTGAAACATTACTATTATATAGAATTTAAGAAGCTTTATTCTTTATTAAATACTTAATATATATTTTTTCCAGTGTAACAGGAATCAAACATATTCAAGGGCCTCAATTATCTATCAACTATGTTGGTTTTTTGTTTTTAGTAAACTGAAAGGAAATCTCCAACCGATAGTCGAAAATTAATTTTTTCGAGACATAGAAATTACCAGAGTGAGTTTACATTCTTCGACTTTATAAACAAAATCTTTTTCATACACATTATCAGGAATCGAACCTGATGATCATTTATTGACAAAAATATTTAATTGCTGAATAAATAACATTATCACATATTGAAAAAATTAATCTTATATATTGTTGCAGATCAGTTCAACTTTGAGAATCAGTAATAATTGTTAAATTTTGCAAGACAAGTTTAATGAGTATTTTATTTTATTTATCAAATCATATTGATCATTTATATATATATATATATATATATATATATATATATATATATATATTAACTACTTTTATAATTTTAAAATGTTAAAAAATTATTAATTTTATTTATTAATAATCTACGTATTTTTTTTTGAAACTGTGACATAAATACACATGCGAGTAAAATTATGAAAATAATCAAATAAAATAGGGTTATTAATTAGGGACTTTGATAGTTTTAGTTTATATGAAATTATATGTTGAAACTTCAATGCCATCATTATATAAAAAAGAAAAATCATGAAAACAAGAAAATGTACAGAATTGCATAGTTTATTTCAAAAAAATAAGCATATTAAAAGAGAAGACATGAATGAGAATTTTTTCTATAGACATTGTTTATAAAATTTATATAGAATAAATCAATAAATAATTGACATAATATCATTTTAACTGTAAAATAATTGTAAACATTTTGTAATTATTTAAAATAATATAATAGAATATTAATTATTGATTTATTTAATCTACACAAAATGTATATAATGATTTCTCATACAACCCACTTTTTCTGTGTATTTCTTTGGCCCGAATCAGTGAGAATCTTTTCGTTTTTAGTCGGAAATGGAAACTAATATAAAATAGCCCAAACATATTGAGGTGGGTTTTTTTATGAGCTGTTGTGGGGCTAAAAATGATGTCTGGTTTATCTAGATTGGGCTGGGTCGGAAATTAAATAAATGGATGGGATTTTTTTTTCCCGGCGAATAAATGGACGAGATTCAATTATAGCAGTGTGACTTTATGCCAAAAATAAATAAATAAATAAATAAATAAAAGATTCTCTTTTCTTTTCTTTTTTTCTTTTTTGGTGGAAGAAAACAGATTCTCTTTGTCTCATTGTAAAATGTAAATCAATCAATAAATATTATTCTCGGTGATCTTGCGAATCAAACGACCTAACAAATCGTAAATGTTGATCTGAGCAGTTATGCAATGCCAAGTGACACAATGCAATTTAACTTTTGCAACTTGAACATCATCTTCAGAGTTTAATTTTAATGCAATATGATATTTAACATAATTGCATGATAACATGGTTACTTATAATTATTATATGAAGTGTAAAATTTATTAAATGACGTGATAATATATAATTGAATGCAAATGTAAATTTTTTAATTAACAATATATCAAAATTAAATTCTTGTCTTTAACCTGTTGATGCTCTTCAATCACCTACATGAAAGCATATTCTAATTTCTAAGCTCTTGATGGCAAAAGGTGAACTGAAAATCCAAAACTATTTTAAAAAAAGGAAAAGTACATAAAAAAAAGGCTTAGCATATCAAGTAATAAGTGGATGAATGTGAACCCTTCGATAATTAATTAGAATCTTTTACTTTTTCGGATTGTTGCTCTTTATATGCGTATCTTTTGTTCCTCCTTAAAAGTTTTTGTCCCGTTTTGTGAAAATCGGGTTTTATTTAGGGGCTTGGCGTTTGTATTGTAAGGAAATCATGTCTAAGAAAATGACGAATATTTCACAATATAAGGTTATATTATCATATGATAGTTTAATTGATGCATGAGAGTTGAATAAGTGAGGGTGAAAATATGCGTTCAATCATTCTCAGTATCATTTTTGGAAAAGTTTAATTATCACAATATAAGGTTATATTATCATATGATAGTTTAATTGATGCATGAGAGTTGAATAAGTGAGGGTGAAAATATGCGTTCAATCATTCTCAGTACCATTTTTGGAAAAGTTTAATTCTGAATCTATCCCGAACTTCAAATTAGTCTATAGAAAATCTATGAAATTATCGGGAGATAATATAAAAAAAGAAGAAGTTATATTATCAATTATGTTCCATTTTAGTATGTTCAAGATAGCGCCCGTGTGACTTGAATTGGAGCATCTATTCTGTTGTACGAAGGGGAATCAGGAATTGGAGCAAAAAGTTATATTATCATCTATGGTTGCCATGCCACTTTCAAGCATTGATCTTGTTACTTGAATCTGCTTTTCAAGTTTTGTAGTAATTATAAGAAGGTGAATTGAATTCTCCTCCATTATTTCGTTGTTAGCCTTCCATTTACTTGAACTTAGTTTAATCCAGAGAGAATGCTTGCTGATGCACATTCACTCCATTGCAAGCGAGATTGTATTTGTAGGACACTAAGGACAACATTAATGTGGCCTAATTTGTAGAGGGATAATCCTTTAATGCTATGCCTTTTTGCAAAATTATTTTATCAAGTTCGAGTTTGACAGAATTGGTTGACAATTATGCTTAAGATCCCCTTTGCTGATTACTTAATTAAAACATATTTTGTAGCTTTATCATTGCTCAAGTTGTCATTTGCATTGCCATTTGGTCACGGACTATGCCTAGCAGATTAACTTCTATGACATCTAAAACTATTGTTGTCATTATATCTTGCGGAGAACGATATACCTACGGCACCTAAGGGTTGTGAAGAGTCACATATAACAACAATATTATGCACATGTATTGTGGGGGGAATCATCGGATGGACCACTCTGACTAATCGAAAGTGATATAACATGCTACTTGAAGGTTTTTTTATGATGGGTGTTGAATGCTGTATGAAGCAAGATTATCTGACTGTAAGGACCATTATATCACGTTGCGCCATTGGAAATGCACCTTGACCCATCACTATAGTATTCATGCCAATAATGTTTCTCATAAAGTACTTGCAATTGGTAAAGAGATTAATTACATTTTGCCAACGACATTATCCGACATTGCTATCTAACGTAGTTAAGTATTAATAGTTTGGAATGATTTATAGTTTTAATGGGATAAGTTATTCTACTTATTATTTTTTGTTGTTTACCTTTATCTACCATCTTCCAACACCATTAGATCGAAATCTCAAAAAGAGAGAGAAAGATAAATGTTAGTTAAGATTTTGATCTAATGGTGTTTTAAAGTGGTAAACAAAGATAGGCAGAAAAAATAATATATAAAATAATCTATTCCAGTTTTAATAGATAAGTATCTAAACCACATAAGAAAGGGAAATCATCTTCTCCTATAATAGGAGAAGAAAACTTTTTGCAGCTAACCTTTCAAGATGTGTGTTATACCAAATGGGATTCACCATAACTTTGAGTGTAGCATGAGATCTCTTTCTTTCCTACAATATGAGAGGTAAGCCCCGTAAGAACTTATATAATTTTATTTTTCATGTATCTAATTCAATATTTGGTGTTCGTAAATAATTGCATACATGAAAGTTCCATTTATAGTGGGAAGGCTAAACAAATATCCTATAGATTGAGAAAACACGAACCATTCGAAAATAAAAACAAAAACGTACCGAAGAGGGCAAAAGCATTCTTCTAAGACTATTGGGTAAAAGAATTGCCCTGATGAAGCTGATTGAATAAGTTTTTTCAAATTAATACCGTCAAACACGTCACTGGTGTAGGAAATCTTAGATTTATGCGGAAGCGGTTTAGGACCTAGTACATTGGTATGCTTACCGAATCATCCTTGTTTCACAATTACCTATCGGTGCGCAGGTCTCGTGTAGAATCTTCCCTTGTAGGATTCCTCTTCACGAACAGCTCACCACAGCGCCGCAGCACGAACAACCTCCTTGAAGCTGGACTGTGGCAGATCTTCCAAACTATCTCTCGAGGAGGAAGGGGAAGTGTGTGGGCACTCGTTCAGATGATGAACGTCTGCCTCTTTGGTTTGTTTCTGATGATCTGTTCAC